ATATATATATATTTGTTGTTAAATCTCTTATTTAAATTTTAAATTATCTTTAATACACTTTTATGCATGCATATTTTTTTTTTTAAAAAGTGATTTTGTTTTCAAATTAATTTAATATCCGAATAATGTAATAGTATAATAATAACAGTGTAACAAATACACTGTAACAAAAACAGTGTTCAGTAGTTTTGTGTATATAGTAACAAATTCAAAACGAAGATGAACTATTTTGAATGAAATTATATATTTGATAAAATGTAATAGTACAATATTTTGTGTAAATAGATTGTTACAATATTATTGTTATACTGTTACATTGTTAGTGTTACACTATTACATTTTATATTATTACACTGTTATTGTTACACTATTACACTATTTGGATATTAAATTAATTTAAAAATAAAATTACTTTCTAAAAAAAAATGCATCAATCAAGGTGCATTAAAAGATAATTCAAAATTTAGATATGAGATTTAATATATATATATATATATATATATTAAAGTTCTCCCAAAAATTAGGAGATGTTTAATGCACCACTTTTCAAAGAAAATTGGTGCATTAAATACACATGGATTAATGGAAGACAAAAATATCACAATAAAAATAGATAAATTCAAATTATATACTTGGATACAAATAAGTATTAAAATTTAGTACTTAATAACCTTACATTTTTTAATGTGTACTTTTGACAAATAAATCTAATTTAATATACCTTCTTACAATTTACCTTTGCAAAACCTTTATCTACGGGCCGAACATGTGCATTTTTGGTCCGTCTTAGCCGTGGCCCCATTTTCAATAAAAGACCATTTCGTCATGTTTTCACCAATTTTTTAATTGCAATCTCTTTATCTACGGCCCGGTTTCGTGCACTTTCGGCCCGTCTTAGGCTTGTCATGTTTTAAATAAAGGACAACTTTGTAATTCAAAACGCCTTAATTTTATCATATTCATAAATTCTTGNCTTTCGGCCCGTCTTAGGCTTGTCATGTTTTAAATGAAGGACAACTTTGTAATTCAAAACGCCTTAATTTTATCATATTCATAAATTCTTGATTTGCAAATGCATTAGCTGCGGGCCGATCTCGTGCACTTTTGGCCCGTCTAAGGCCTAGCCCGTTTAAAATAAAAGGACAACTTCGTAATTCTATCCGTTGATCGCCTTCAATAAGGGCTTTTGTCCCCAATCATTTCCAATATTATCGGCCCTCTCACGTGCTTGCCCAGAGCTCGCAACTCCCGGCTCACACTCTGGCCGGTGACCGTCGATCGGCGACTGACGCCGGCGTTCAGTGCGAACCACGGTCAGTCCTCTCACTCTAGCGGTAAGTAATTGACTCTATGTGTCTCTCTGTTACTCTAGAGCATAATTTTTCTATCCATGGATGTCTGGAAGTAAGCTAGATAAATGTAATACAATTTAGGGCTGCTTCTACAACAATAATGCATTGGTCCTCGTCTAAGGTACATACTTATGGAGAATCCAGNCCATGGATGTCTGGAAGTAAGCTAGATAAATGTAATACAATTTAGGGCTGCTTCTACAACAATAATGCATTGGTCCTCGTCTAAGGTACATACTTATGGAGAATCCAGTGTTTAGAGAGATAGTAAGGGAGAGGAAGGTGGAGATAGAGAGAGAAACAAGAGAGAATAGAGAATTTTGGCCTGTTAGGCTATTAGCAAGGGTCTAGGAGAGAGAAATTCTATCTAAAACACGAAAACGGAAGCAAATAAATCTTGATTTTGTGAATAAGTGGAAATTGATTTATATTGTATTTTAGAAAGAAGTTGGTTTGAAAAGAATGGTGTGAAGTGAACTAACAAGGATGATTCCCAATTGCCTCTGAAAACGTGCAAACGGGATTTTAATCTAGACATGAGTAGGGAAAACACCAGCCCCAACTTCTAAAAAAAGGACTATGAGACGGATCAAACTGATTCAGAAAAAATGAACCCGGATTCATCTCCATTTTTTTGGGTGGAGGGGGAATTGGGGAGGAGGACTTGAATTCTTGACCTCAACAAAACCAAGCCTTCACAAGGCAAGGCAAGGATCATCGGTATTAAACCTGTTCTATGTGTCCTTAACACCTTTTCTTCATCCAAACTCCCTGTCATGTGTGGCATCAGAATCTCGTTCATTTTCCACAGTTTTGTAGCCAGTTTTGTCGTTCAGACTGGCTTTCACTTACTGCCACCTTTCTTCGGAGCAAATTTACAAGATTCGGTGGTAGAGCCTAGATACAATAATGTTTAGTGGAATCAACAAGCCAGACAATTTTTTCAGCAGAAGAAGCTCAGACAGTTGAATAACCAAAATATCTGATCAAGGGATTGGGAGTACATATTTTCTACTTTGTACAATGTTGTGGTGCATTCTCTTTCTTGACATTTTCACGAACCCTCAACTTAGGGCTTCTTGCTATTGAATTAATTGGTCATATGCTGCTTAGTAAATGCATGTTTGCTCAGATGTTGAAATAGAACCTTTGGGNCAATGTTGTGGTGCATTCTCTTTCTTGACATTTTCACGAACCCTCAACTTAGGGCTTCTTGCTATTGAATTAATTGGTCATATGCTGCTTAGTAAATGCATGTTTGCTCAGATGTTGAAATAGAACCTTTGGGTGAGGAAGATAGATGGCAAATTACACAATATCTAACAGACTACAAGAAGTTACGAATTTTAGCAAATGACTCTTTGCTATATTTGATTTACATAATTTCTGGAGGTGGCATATATCATCATTTTAACCAGTATTCTTTTTCTTTGTTATCTTTCACAATTACTTTTGTTTTCAGTAGTACATATAATTTGATTGTTTTAATTATCATTGCCAGTTTTCTCCTTAGTTATATCTCATGGATGCATAGTGTTAGTCATAGTTTTAAGTTAGGTGTCTTATACTCTTGGTGGTTCATTAAGCTTTTTTTGGACTAGCCAATTCCAGATAATACCGAACTTACAGTATTATCCTTGAAAAAAGGAAATCTGAGGTATGGTTTCTTATGTATGTGAGGAATGTGTTGATGTTATTCCGGTGAATATGTTTATTCATTTAAGCTTTACATTGATGGCATAATCATCCTTTGCTTAGATGTTGCATGTAAAGGAGGAAGATGTGGTGGTTATTTCTGACCATTCAGAAACAAGTAATGGTGAGCAACAAAAGAGAGAAGTGAGGTTGAAGTCCAAAGTTTGGCAACATTTTACGAAGCTTGAAAAGAAGACTGGAATTCGTGAAGAATGTCTGTGTAATCATTGTAAGAAAACCTTTGCTTGTTCGAACAAATCCGGAACATCCCACTTGCTTCGTCACATTACCAGAGGATCATGTCCTGTCTATAAGAAAGAAAGAGTAGATAAGTCACTAACAGTTTCAAGTTTTGCCGAAGATACTTCAGAGCTTGGTATCCATGTTGTCCCATGGACATTGGATCAAGGCCTTGGCCAAACACCCACTCAACAGTCAAATGATGTGCAGGATGAACAGTCTCCAGAGGGGTTAGAGGATCTTAATTGTCAAACATGTAATACATCAGTAGATGACTATGCTGCCCAACCATTATCTATAGGCAGACAACTACATCAGGAACCTACATCAAAATCTCAACATAGAGATGAATCATGGATGTACGAGTTGAGAGCTTGTGCAGGTAAACTTGTTGGTCTCATTAATGAGGGAATTCCAACTGAAAATGCCACCAAGACTCCTGAAACGGGTATTGCACCTGATTACTCTATAGCTGCTGCTGTGAAGTGTTTGAATGAAATGGAGGATATACCACAATCAAGTGCAATGTATCTGGATGCTTTCGAGATTCTAAAGGATGCAAATGAAAGAGAGGCGTTTATTTGTTTGAACCCAGAACCTCGTAGAAGATGGTTGCAGAGGATGTTGAACCGCCGATCTCCATCCTGTTACAGCTATGATATTTAGTAGGTTTCTAAGAACTCTTGTGGTTTAAATATGTGAATTTGTAATATGCTTGTGGATAATCTTGTCTTGTAGAATACTGTTTTTTAGAATTTTATGTATGATTTGTGGCTTCAATAAAACATAAGCTCTTTGTGCCTTTATAACACTTAAAAAGACCGTCCTGATGGGTTAGAACATGGTAACGTACTACTATTGACCAATGTAACTCGACTCCGCATTTTATCTTTCTTAAGGCNTGTGGGAAATATTGTGAATTTTTCTGGCAGGACTACCCAATCTTGTACCATTGCATGATCTATTGACCAATGTAACTCGACTCCGCATTTTATCTTTCTTAAGGCCAGTGCCCGTGTCTTGTCAACAGACGGTTGCGTTCGGTAGTTAACATAAAATTAGAACATGAATTTTGATCCGAGTTTTTTGGATGCCGGTTCCTAGTCCCAATAGAATTCAAAAAAAAAAAATTACTTGTCAATTTTCTTTTGGATTATGTCTCAAAAACTAACGACAATGTCATCACCTAATTTAAATACTTATTCTATAAAGTTACATAAATAAAATATATCTTCTTTCCTATAAATATAAATTGTCAGACAGGTATACAACGAGTACGCAATAATCGTCAGCCAAGTAGAGGTTTTACCCCAACCCAAGCGGTTTTAAAAAAATATGCAAAAAAGACGGTTGGTTTGAAAATATTATCCAAACTCATACAATTTTAAAAACGTTAGATGAACTGATGTTTTTAACGCAAAAAACATCAGTTGAATTGACGTTTTTAACCTAAAAACATCAATCTATCTGACGTTTTATGGCATGAATACTGTCCCCAATATACAACCCAAAAATGTCAGTCCATATGACGCCTTCTAAAAACGTTAGTCCAAATGACGTTTTTAATGTAAGTTTTTCTCTTTTTTTTTTTTTTTATGAATAAAATGTTTATTTTTTATTTATTAAAAATTTTAATTTTACATAAATTTTCATTTGTCCTACTGATGTTTTGTTGTTTTACTCCTAACAAGGATACCTAAAATTGTTTTGCTCAATTTATTTTTTAGAGGATGAGTTCTTTTTTATTTATTTAACAATTTAATTACATTCAATAAATAAATTTTGATCATTTAAAAATACTTATATTTTTTAGCATATCAAACTTTAAAAATTGAAAACGTATATATATAATTAATTTTAATTTTATCATATAATTTTAAACGTATACATAAAATAAAAATAAAATTTTATTTTTAATGTTGATTATGTTGACATTAATGTTTATTAAATTGTGAAAAAAATATAAGTTATTTAGAATCCATATATGTAAAAAAAGGATGTCAATAATATGGTTGACATTCAAAACAACATAAAGGATTATCGAGTGTACATAAACATGATGGGATCAAAGTATCAGACGCATCATCGTCCAAATCAGAGAAATCAAAAAGTTCAGGATCAGAAACAAGTAACAGATCTTCTAAAATTTCAATTTGGCATATTTAGGATCGAAATGCTCTATTTTTGCATAATCGAGTGCATGAAAACGATAAAGACGACGCTGTATTTGTTTATTTTCACGTTCAAGCTNAGAAATCAAAAAGTTCAGGATCAGAAACAAGTAACAGATCTTCTAAAATTTCAATTTTGGCATATTTAGGATCGAAATACTCTATTTTTGCATAATCAAGTGCATGGAAACGATAAAGACGACGTTGTATTTGTTTATTTTCACGTTCAAGCCTTTATATGACCTTGTCATGATTGTTTGAATTCTGTGAATTGTAAATATCAACCGAATGTGCCTTTGGTACCGTAGTTCCATGCCAACTACAAAATACTTCAAGGTTACAACGTTTGTCATATAACTGTCACCATGTTGGTGTGGGTTCGATATGAATAGTTGGAGGTGGATAATTAGTTGCAGGTCTAACAATTACATGTCCAACTTATCTGAATGGGTGATAACGGTCGATGGGCTCATTGCGAAATGCACGCTTTCATTCATACCACATTAGACCACTGGAATCAGTATATGATTTGATAGAAGGAACTTTGGTCAGCGATGTTGAGTTGTCCGTTGAGCGTTCACGTTTGTTACTCGAAGATGAACTATTTTGGTCATTGTGTGAAGAAGAACTTGCATGTGATATGCTCCTATACATTTTGTTTGGTGGTTGTGTATTTACACAATTGTGAATGGTAGTATATATATGCTCGGTTTGGAAATTTAAAATTATAGTGAAAGGAAATCAAACTGTAAAGTTTGGAACTGATTTGATAGTGATGCAAAATGACAATGAAAAAGTTGAGATATGACAACACACTGAATAGATTGATAAAGTCACGAGATAGATTAAAATAAATAGGACTTCACACAGCAAAGTTCATAACTGATTTTACAATGACAAAATGTGACAATAAAAAAGTCGAGAAATGACAACACACTGAATAAAGTGATAAAGCTACAATATTGATTAAAGTAAATAGAACGTAGACATAAACGCTATATGCTTAATAGGTGGACACTAATTATATTTGTTAATTTTCATTAGACATATACACATTTGATAGGTATTTTTCATTGGACAATACATTAGATCGCTTAGTAGTTGTTAACTCCCTGCCAAATGCAGTTGTCACCATGTCAGATGCTATTTGGTGCATATAATATCGGTATTTACGCAGCATCATCCTATTATTCTCATTTTGTACATGTTTACCTGCTGCTTCATGGTTGACTCTATTCATTCACAGCATGGTAAATATAAGTCTATATGGCACCGGTATACCAAGTTCTCTCAGATCTATGTATAATGATTGTGATTCATTAGCACGAAAACCCCACTCTCGACGGAGTCCTGCACAATACTCCTTTGGATTAGAAAGTCTCGNCATTCACAGCATGGTAAATATAAGTCTATATGGCACCGGTATACCAAGTTCTCTCAGGTCTATGTATAATGATTGTGATTCATTAGCACGAAAACCCCACTCTCGACGGAGTCCTGCACAATACTCCTTTGAATTAGAAAGTCTCTCACTCTTGTAATCATCATCTCTCTCTTGTAATAATTGTTAGAGTATTAATACTAANAATACTCCTTTGAATTAGAAAGTCTCGCACTCTTGTAATCATCATCTCTCTCTTGTAATAATTGTTAGAGTATTAATACTAAGTGTAGTTTAAACATTTTTTTTATGTTGTTTTTCCTTACTATATAAGACTTATTTTGTGTATTTCTAGGTTTAAGAAGTGAATTATAGACCAACTTTTAGTTTAATATATTTTTTCTCTTTCTCTTCTATTCTATTGATCAATTTTATCATGGTACCAGAGCGGGTTAAGATCCAAATATGATTAACAATACAATGGCTTCATCATAAACAAAGTGGAAGGTTGAACGAGGGTTGATGTAAACTAATCGATACTTCAAATATAGGCGAATATTGATCTGCAGTTTCTACCTCTATTGCTCGATTGTATGTTATGAAGCATCTTGTACTAAATCTTGGTGAATATTTGCTAGGTTGTGGTCTTCTGTGATTGCTCAATTTCTTCTGCGATTGTTGGGTTGGTGAATCTTGACTCTATTTTCTTCCTTCTTCCTTCTGCCTCCTCGTTTCTATCGTTGGTAGCCATTGCAGGTCTATTGCTTCTTCATTTGGTTAGTATTTGATTTTGGACTATTGGATTGTTTGTTATTTGGATTGTTTAATTACTGGAATACTTTTGGCTTGGTTGGGTTTCGGCTGACTTGTTGCTGGCTAAGTTGGGTTTTTGTTGTTTTGCTTTGTTGGCTTGCTCGATTTTGCTGGCTAGGTTGGGTTTTGATTGTTTTGCTTTGTTGGCTTGCTGGTTTGACTTGTTGACTTTGGGTTGTTCTTGGAATTTATTTGAGTGTATTCTTGCAAATTATTAGTGCATGTTCTTTATTGAACTCTGACAAGTGAAAATTCTGATTCGCTTCAGGCAATTAGTGTGAGATTAATAGGTGAAAATTATGTTTATTCGGCTTATGGTATGAAAATTTTTTTATTGGGAAAAGACATGTGGAATTATATTTGTGGTGTTGCACAGGTTCCAATTGATGCTAAGGTAGAAAATTATGTTGCTTTGAAGATTACTTGGGATATCAACAATGCGAAAATTATCACTTTGATTAATAACTCAGTTAATCAGACCATTGAAGTTCATCTATCCAAGTTTAGCACAATTTAGGAAATTTGAATTATTTAGCCACACTTTTTGCCCAGTTTAATTTTGCAAAGAGGTATCAATTAGAGCATAAGATTTGAGATGCGCACCAAGGGGACAAAAACATATAAGAATTCTACTAAGTTATGACTGATTTCTGGTATCAGCTAGCACTTACTGAACCCACTGAGTTAAACACTAATTTGACATATCACACTTTCACAGAGGAACAGAGGCTGGTGCAATTCTTGTTGGCCCTTAGATATGACTTCGTGGGACTTCATGCTTCCATTCTTCATTGTCACCCATTCCCCTCAGTGGATGCAGTTAATGAGCTCTTAACTGAAGAGGTTCGCCTTAAAACCCTTTCTGGAAATGGTTTTCTTCCACTGCCAAATCAGATTGTATTGGCTGTTCCTTCCAAAGTGACCTCTAATTCCCAAAAAAAATATCGAGGTCAAGTTGTTTCTGATGAGTCTAGCTTTTGTCGTGAAAAGGGTCATTGGAAGGCCCAATGTCCAAAGTTGATGAACAAGAATATACGAGGGTCTCAAAATCAGTCATAAGTCCAGAGATCGTCATACAGTGGCGGTAACACCGCCAGTGGATGAGTCAGCCTCATAAGCTCCCAGCCTGATTATGTTTGCAGATCAGTTACGGAAGTTTCTCTCACTTCATCAGTCTGGTGCTCTCATAGGTTCTCCTACTATAGGTTCGTTCAACTCAGATCTTTCAGGTATATCTCGAACTGCTTGGGTCTTTGACTTAGGTACCACACATCATATGACCAGTGACTCTTCTTTATTTG